TGAATGAGGAAGAGGCGAGGATAGGAGTGGGGAGGGTGGGGAGGAAAGGGGATAAGGGAGGGGTTGGGGGTTGGGGGTGAAGGGAGAGGATGGCGAGCGAACACGAGGGAAGGGAGGGGAGGAGAGAGGGGATAGTGGGCCGCGGACATGGAGGTGAAGGTGGAACAGGGAGGAAGGAATAGGAATAGGGGAAGGAAACGAGGGAATGAGAGGGAAGGGGAAAAGGAGAGAATAGGGGAGGGAGAGAAAGCACAAAAATTATAAAATATTGATTTACTAAAAATATATTGATGATGTCATTAAATATCATAGTGATGATAGGAATGATATTAAACATTAATAATTGAGAATAATTATGATAAAGATAACAAAACTGACGAAGATAATATAATAGATGACAATATTATGAATATAAGGAGGCAATCATTATAATGGAACAATAAATTAATAGAATATGATAACAACAATGATAATTACAGTAATGATAGTAAGGATGATAAAGGTATTGTTAAGAAAACAACAACAACAACAAAAAAAAAACGAATAAAATAAAGAGAAAAATCAACAACAACAAAATTAGCAAGAAAATCAAACCATGTGTCCGTATGAAAGGAAAATGATTAGATTAAAAGACAAACGAAACGAGAAAAATATACAAGAATAGAGGTTATCAAAAGATATCAATACCAAGAAAGAGAACAGGAAATGAATACTATTATTTTCCGGTATTCTAATAAAAGGAAATGAAGTGAACACGAAAGTTATATAAAACAACACGACACTATATAACAAAAGAAAGAAAGAAGGAGAGAGAGAGACAAAAAAAAGCGCGAAAAGTATAAGAACCACACTAAATACTATATGAGAAAGCAAAGACATCAGAAAAAAAAATCAAATAAAAAACGCAAAGAAAAAACTCATCTGAGAACGCGCCAATAACACAAAGAAGAAGAGGGGATGCGAGTTTAATTAATTGTGCATATGGGCTTCAATGCTCGTTAAGAAATTCCACACAAATGTGAACGTTGTATAAAAGGGTAATTTTAAATATAGTAGATGATGGCGATTATCATTCATTAATGAACACACACAGAATTGCAATGCTGCAATCGTGGATTAGAAAGGAGGTAATTAAGTATAAAATATGAATGGAAAAGAAAGTCGAGGTCCGGAGCAATTAGGGGAATAGGAGTACCGGATAGAGTAAATCGGACCTCTGCATATCTATAACATATTCTACCAATTCTATCCTCATATTATGACTACTAGCTCTATAGTGACCTCATATTTTAAGTTATCTCTATTATATATACTATTATATAATTACTTATATATGTATAATAATATATTACATAATGTGTGTCGGTGTGTGTGTGTGTGTGTGTGTGTGTGTGTGGTGTGTGTGTGGTGTGGTGTGTGTGTGGTGATGTGTGTGTGTGTATGTACATACATATTACCCATTAATATAACTATATATAATACCTTATATCTATACGTATTCAATAGTATTATATGGCGATAGCTCAGTACTTCAATAATTACTTATATATATAATACAATTACCACTTATATCTCACGCTACTATACTATATCGAATTCATATTTATTACTCTTGTTACTGCATATGTCATCTATATATGAATAGTAGCATAACACTACATTTAAATACAGCTACATAACACACAACTACACACCCCACATCACACATATATATTTATATATAGTACTATTTATATAATATATATATTATTAATTTTCATAATTGATTAGGTATGTATGTATGAATTCACAATACTGTGTATATAGCCATACATTATAGTGAACAGATGAATCAGGTAGTTCCTAATAGCCAATATATTAGATCGATTGACCATGTTCCACTTCCTCTTGAATGCTACTGTCCATTGTACTCTCAACAGCGGGAGCCCGGTGATGGGGACGGGAACTGCGGGCGAAAGCAAGACCGGAGACCAGAGGGAGATCTGACCGCCTTTAAGGCTGCCGGGATTAACTCCTTTTCTCGACAGGTGGGAGAAGCAATGTTTTCTGGGTTTGCACTTATGGAGTTTGAGGAGAAGAAGTAGGGGAGGGGGGAGACGAAAGGGGCCGATGAGGGAGAGAGAAAGGGGGAGGAGAGGGAGAGAGAAAGGGGGAGGTGAGGGAGGGAGAAAGGGGGAGGGGAAGGAGAGAGAAAGGGAGGAGAGGGCAGTATGAGAAAGGGGCGAGCGTAGAGGGAGAGAGAAAGGGTGGAGGTGGGGAGGGAGAAAGGGGGGGGGACTGATGGGGGGGAGGGAAGAGAGCAATAAGGTGGGGATGAAGAGAAACTCAAAATAAAAGGGGAGAGAGAAGGGGGCTAGTGCAGTAATAGGAGGAGATAATGGGGGTAATGGGAGAGTGGGTGGGTAGACAGAAGAATAGATGAGAGAAAGGGCCGAGGAGAGGGAGGACACAGAGAAAGGGGGAGGGTGTAGGGAGAGAGAAAGATCGTAGGAGAGGGAGAGAGAAGGGAGGGGAGACAGGGGATTACGTAGAGGAAGGGCAGGAGTAGGGAGAAGAGAAGAGGTGGGACGGTGAGGGAGGCAGCATAGGGAGGGGAGGGAGAGAGAAAAGGGTGGGAGAGGGAGAGAGAAAGGGGGAAGGAGAGGGAGAGAGAAGGGGGGGTAGAGGTGGGAGAGAAAAGGAGGAGAAGGGGGTAGGAAGAGAGAGGAGAAAGGTGGTAGGGGAGGAGAGAAAGAGGGAGAGGGAGAGAGAAAGGGGAGAGAGGGAGAGAGAAAGGGGGAGGAGAGGGAGGGGAGAATAAAAGCTGGGGGGAAATGGAGAAGAGGGAGAGAGGAAAGGAGGAGGAGAGGGTAGAGAGATTAGATGGGGGAAGGACAGGGAAAGAGAAAGAGGAGGGAGGGAGAGAGAAAGAGAGGATGAGGGAGAGAGAAGGTGGGAAAGATCGGGAGGAGAGAAAGGTCACGAGAGCTAAAAGGGGGAGGAGAGGGAGAGAGGAAACGGGGGAATGGCGAGAGGAGAGAGAAGGTGGGAGGCGAGGAGAGAGTGAAAGGGGGAGGAGAAGAGGGGATCGAGAAGCGCAGGGGAGTGAGAATAGGGAAGGGAAGAAAGGGGGAGGGGAAGAGGGAAGAACTGAAATGGGGGGGGGAGGGAAGAGACGAAAGGGGTAGGGAGACGGATAGAGAGAAAGGGCGGGGAGGAGAGGTGGAAGAGAGCATAAGTGGGTAAGGCTCTAGCGAGGTGGATGAAGAGAACGCGTGTCAGAAGCTTGTAGGGAGTTGCGGCTAGGTGGAGGTTTGAGCGTAACTAAAGGGGTCGGAGGCCTCAGTAGGTGATACGTGCGGGGTTGCTCACAGTGCAATCAGGCATGCGGAGGGATTGGGATCGGGCAGAGGGAGGGCTGTCAGATAGGCACGGGACTCACCCTGCAGAAAATGTTGACAAGGGAATAGCACGCGCCTCGCCACAGGCGTGTAAGAGGGTAAAGAGGACCGCACGCCGGGAGTTCAGGACGACACGACGCAACTTACGAAAGCGAGAGATAGAGCGCACCACGCGCGAGGAGACGGACACCACGGACTCACACACTCACACCACGCACGAGAACACGCCCACACGCCACACGCACGCGCGCGGAAGGTGGCAAGAGCGCAGCACCACAAAGCAGAGACACGCACGCACTCGCACTGCCAAAGCACTCCGCACACTCAAATAGCCACGGTGAGACACCGGACACGCGGAGAAAGGGTGATCCACTCTAACAGAGAGAAGAGACGCCACACACAAGCGGCGCGCTAACACACAGGGCTCCGTACGCGGCAACACAGCACACCACACTCACACGAGAGGGGCACGCCAACCAGGAGAGGAATCACAGGAGAGAAGTAAAGTAAAAGATGAGAAAAGAGTGGGCGCAGTAGCAAGCACTAAACACCGAGGAGTAACTAAGAAAATATTGAAAGCGACATTGAAACGAGCTAAGAGAGGAGACAAGGGTGATCGAAGATTAAGTGATAAACGAGAGAAATAAAAAGCTTCGTAAGCGAAATGCAGCACAACAGGAAAAAAAAAGAAGAGAGAGGTACTACTAATAAAAGAAATGAAAGACAATACTGACATTGAAAGAAAACGAGAAACAATATCAAGAGACAAAAAAATCATATTTTCCCGCCGATCCTCTTTCTTCCTTCTTCCTCTTCTTCAACTAACGGAGAACACAGACCTCACGAGAAATCGCACGGATCCAGTTTCATTTTACCAGAGGATTGAATTCATCTCCAGCTGATTCCTCCTCGAATTAGAGAAGAGAAAATGTTTGGGAATGATCAGAGACACTCTCTTATCGTCCCGGTGAGCAAGATCGACGGAAAGGCCGAATCAGCGCCGGAGTAACTGTTCCATTAACTGTCTGAGTGTGTGTGTGTGTGTGGGGGGGGGTGTATGTGTGTGTTTGTGTGTGTGTGTTGGGTGGGTGTTTGTGTGTGCGTGTGTGGTGTGTGTGTGGTGGTGTGTTGTGTGTGTGTGTTTGTGTGGTGTGTGTGTGTGTGTGTGTGTGTGTGTGTGTGTGTGTGTGTGTGTGTGTGTGTGTGTGTGTGTGTGTGTGTGTGTGTGTGTGTGTGTGTGTGCAAGTAAAATAACGAAGGGAATAAACAAGAAAACGCACAAATTGAATAAAGGTCTTTTCGCTATATTGTATCTTCAGCGAAAAGGCCTTTGGAATATTCGTGTAATTTCTTGTCCTTCCCTTCGTAGTTTTAGTTGACATTTGTTCAGCCTAAATCCTACACGTGTGTGTGTTTGTGTATGTTTTGCATTGTGTGTGGCGTGTGCGTGTGTGTGTGTGACAGTAAAATCAATCAAAATGAATGAGAATACAGTAAATAAAAAGGGAAAATGTTACACAAACAGCAAATCAAAACTAAACAGAAAATGAAAAAAGTCAACATATCGACATCAAAACCCCAGTACCATCACATTAAAAGCACATGCCGCCGTGCCTCCAG